TGGCAGTACGACAAGCAATTTAAGCCAAAAAACAATCAAATGTGTAAAACAAGTTTCAGTATGGACAGTGCACTGGCAGCATATCCTGAGAGTGATATAAATTTCTTAACTAGCAATGAAGGATTTAAATTGGCCCTGTCAACCATGTGCAATTTAATAACAGAGTGAACAAAGATATTGTCAGAGAAATGTACAACAAGAACATGATCTGCATCACTGTTGAGAAGGAATCAGCAAATCGTAGAATGCACTCTAGAAAGATGTGTAGACCTATGCTTATAATTTGATTCTGAAAATCTGCATTTAAGTTTTATATTGGATGCTGTGATTCTTTCCTCACCCAAGAAGTGAAAGTTATTCAGCCTTCTCTGCAGATTTATGTGCAGATGTTACTATGATTTTCACACATATAAATAGAAAATTTGCTTTGTTTGTGGACATCTTGCCTCACTGACAGTCCTGAGTATTTAATTTCACTGTTTTAGAATATTAAAGGATTTCTCATAATCCAGGCAATAAACTCGAGTTAAACCCTCTTAAATGCAAGCCAAGGCACTGAGTAAGCATGACAACCAAATGGGATTCATCGGGCAACATTCAACCCCTTGCCAGCTGCACTACTTTTCCTGAAAAACAGGAGTGTGTTTGATTGAATAATGCTTGGAAATTGCCTATTTCTTGACTGCAAAATGCTTTTAGTGGACGACAGATCTATCGTATAATTGATGACAAGTGTGTCTTAGATTAAATAAACAAAAATGTACTTTGTCTGGATTAACCTATTTAGGGAAATTATAAGATTGCATTATGGCATCAGAATGTAGTACTGCTTATGGATCTGGATGTTATATTGAAGTTTTATGAGCTCAAATCCTAGACAGACCACTGCTAGTGTACCCAATGTATACTCAGCTTTATAAACGGCTGGGCTCTAGACTGTCATTACAATCAATTATTTGTTCTGAATAGATATACCTGGTTAAATAGATAGATACTTTATTGATCCCGTGAGGGAAATTGCAGTGCAACCGCAGCTTAACACACACAACACAGCCACAGTGTAATGAATTATATAATAATAGTACAATAC